GCTAATAAGTCTTGTGAGGTCACGCTGACCTTGACCTTTGACCTTTGACCATCAAAATCTAATTTAGTCAGTTCGTCCTTGAGTCCAAGTGAACGTTTGTACCAAATCTGAAGTTCCTTCAAGATGTTACTGAGATATCGTGTCCACAAGATTGAAAAGGACAGATGGACAACCTGACAACAACATGTCTCCAGCTCTGACTGTCGAGGGAGCAGAGGAATGAAAAAAGAAAGAAAGAAATTAACTTGATTTAGTTCATTTTTTGGACCGTGAATTTAGGTCTAGAATCAAAATTGTGAACTATGAATGTGAATGAGCTCATTTTAATCTGTGTGAACAGATCTTTGAACTTGCTCTTGTAAGGTGAGAACTAAACACAACACTGACACATTATCACCATATAAACTGTATAAAGTTGATGTGGCTAACATGTGAGCAAACAGTTGCATCTGGCAGTCATGGAGCTACATGATCATTCATGAGGAGTGGTGTTTGTGTCCAGTGTTCCCTCTGTTTGAGCTCTGTGTTTGGTCTCCGCTAGCTCCTCTTTAGCTGCTAAATGCTCCACTGTCACTAGATTCAAGGGTGATGACACTGAACCAAAACAATGAGCTGAAAGAGGCTCAGACGAGGAACTGCAGTCAGGCAATAATGGGGCATTGATGGTTTCCTCCGGAGTGAAGTGATGCTGATGTCGCTTAATCTGACATGTGTCCTCACCCAGTGTGTGGTAACGGGCAATTAGCGTGTCTGGGATGTCCACAGGGTGGCACACATACAGCCGTGAGTCTCCCCACAGAGTAATGGCCGTCAGCCTCCTCCTGCTGTCTCACTTTAGCTCTGGTCCCCAATGAGATTGATAACCACCTAAATAAAGACAGATCGACCGAGAGATGTGAGCCCACAGTGTGGTGGGGGAGTAGAGGTCACAGTGTCACATTCAGGCAGGTTGTCTGCTGAGAAATGACAGCATGTGGGCCAGTGGGATGTTGCCTGACAGGTCAAAGCAGATCAATGAGAGATTTCAATAGATCCTAGAAGTAAACATTCAGAATCTGTAACCGTGTGGATCCAGATGAACGTCACCCCAACACGTCAGGACTTTTTCTTCTGATTTGTGAGCTAACTCAACATTTAACCCTCTTTTATCATCTGAGCATTTTTTTTAACATGTGAGTTCACAGTGATGGATTACACAGCATCATTACAGTCTGAGGATGATGCTGAAGGAAAGAATTTCATTTACTTCAGTGCTATGTGTCAAAACAGTGGTAGTGCTGCAGCCTCATTGCGTACAACACCACACACTGTGGCTCCTCTGAAAAGCTCTGTGGTACAACTCACAGTGTGTTTTAAAGCAGACATCATGAAAACTAATGACATGAAGTAGTGTGATTTAAATGCATGGAGAGAGAGAAGTTCAGTGCATCATGGGAGTGCCTATAGCAGTATCACTACAACAGTATCTACAACTCTTCCTGGTCTCTCTCCCTTTCTCCCCCATTTCTCCTCTCAACCCAACCAGTCCAGGCAGACTCCCCCCCCCCACCCAGAGTCCTGCCCACTGTCAACAGTTGCTGCTCACTGTCGAACTGTTGGTTTCTCTCTATATTATTGTCAGGTCTTGACCCGACTCTGTGAAGTACCTTGAAAGAATAAATGTCATGATTTTGTTCTATACCAGTTCCTCCAATATTGTTATTGGGTCATGAAATAGTCAGATTTAATGTTTCATTTTCAGTGGAATTGAGGTTGGTGGCAGAAAAAGTCTAAGTGTGTTTTGAGTTATAAACTTTTCCCCCTTGGTTCGGTTTCACACAGAGAAAAATTCAAGTGAAAATGCACCATTACAAACGACGTGAGGACGTTTACTCCGCTTATTGGTCAGATTGTCTGGAGCAGGAAAGTAAACACAGGAAAAAGGTTACGGGAACCATCAAGCTCAACTCCCCCATCCTCCTCCACTAGCAGGGTGTATAGGTGATTATGTCATGTGACATACATACACTGGTTAAAACCAATATCATACAATGTAATGACTGAAGTGCTGTCAGCGTCACCTCCACAAACCTTTTACTCTTTGCTTTAATGTGCAGTTTAATATCTGTGTTTTCAATGTGGCACATTGTTGGACATGTCTGAGCACCTGGAGAAATCTGTTTCCAATTACATTGTGTATGAAGCATCTACTGTTTCCCGAACACCTTGGGAGCTGCTGGGGGATTCACAAGCTGGCTGCCGGCTACTGCCAGACCCCCTTTGTCTGGAGGCTCCACATTAACACACAGCTAATAGCCCCAGGGGTGGCTGGATGACTGACGGAGGGGGTTTGTGTTTCACAGGCCCACTGGTCCTGTCTGGGTCAGTGCTGCTGAGCCGACAGACCAAGGAGAGGGCAGGGTCTGGACCCCCAAAACGTCACAGTTCGATTTATCGAGTCAGAACTGCATCTCACTGAACTTGTTAAACACAACACATGCTCACAAACCAACTGAAATATATTAATCACAGCTTCTCCCTTAACTAATAAAAGAGTGCAGCCTGATGCGAGCCAGCTCTCTGATAATGAGGTCTTTTAGATCCCGTTATTTGATACAAAGAACGCAGCTAATTCTCTCAGCCAGCAAGAAAATCCATAAGCATGAATAATCACTATCTGCTGCCTTTACCCTTGATCACATGAGAGGTGAGAAAATCCATTTGACAATGCTGAAAAGTTGTGAAGTGTGTTGACATGCTCTGTGCTGCGTTCAAAGAGATACTGGAAATCCATCAGTTATAGAGCCCAGGACTCTGACGTTAGACCAGACTCATGGTCTGAACGTTCTTTCTTTCTCTCCTTTTGATCCTACAACTGCCTCTTCCTGTTTCCAACAAAGACACACCTTGTGACACTCACCTTTGAAGTTGTGTCTTATTTGCATGCTGCCATGTTTAGCTTGGCTGCTGTCTCTACTGGATAGTAAAGACGTGTCTGTGCTATTATCAGTTTGTGCTTGTTTTTATCAGCTCCTGGAGGTAGAGCAGCTCAATCGATTCTGAGGCTTCGTATGAGAAAACTTTGATGATCACTGGTGTTACAACTACATAGACTATTCACTTTACCAAATCCATCAGTCCTCATCTAAAATGACAGCTGTTGTGCTTATTATCCAAGCAGGAAAAACAGAAAAAGAACATGAAGCCAGGATTCTAGAAATATTACCAATGCACCCAAATCAGTGATTCCCAACCTGTGGGTATTGCAAGTGGGCCACCAAGTCATGTTCAAAACAGTACAGTTCTGGTGAAAGAGTATGATTACAAAAAAATTAAAATATAAAAACAGTTTTTAACTGTTTTAAAACAGAATGATCTTGAAAAACACTTTAATTTTTATTGTTGTGTTTTATTTTCGGTATTTCTGTTTTGTTTTGTTTGTCCCAATGATAGGAACTTTAATGTTGTTGCCGACTGGAACACTTGTTCTTTGACCTGTCACCAAACCGTTCAAAATGCAGCTGCCTGGCTCTTTAACCAGAAACATTCCTCCACTGGCCCCCAATCAAATTCAGCATCCATTCTAAAATACTGGTGCTCACCTTTAGAGCCTCGCATGGTCAAACACCCCAATACATGTCAGACAGCAAACATTGTGTAAATAATCAACTACTAACTAACTACTTTCTCCAACAAGTTACATGACGTGTGCATGGGTGCAGTGGGTTCCGCTGTGGCCTCACAGCAAGAACGTTCCTGGTTTGAACCTGCTGGCCAGCTGGAGCCTTTCTGTGTGGAGTTTGCATGTTCTCCCCATCTGTGTGGGTTCTCTCCGCGTCCTCCAGCTTCCTCCCACAGCCCAAAGACATGCAGGTGAGGTTAATCTTAATTGGCTGTAGTGTGAATGTCAGCATGAATGGTTGTTTGTCTCCATATGTCAGCCCTGTGATAGGGCCCCCACCCTTGCCCAATGTCAACTGGGATTTGAAAACAGAGACAGTTGCTGTTGTAGTTATTTGTATGTGCCTTAACCATTCAACTACCAGGATGCTCGACGCCTAATCCATGGTTGAGTCATTTCTTGCTTGCTTAAAGGTGCTTAAATTTATTTATATCAATCCAAATAATCCATCGATCCATAATCAATCCAACTAACCCTAACCCAAACATGTCAGCCTTTAAAATATCTATTATGTTTAAGCTTTTGGTTGGACTGCTACAGTAATGTAAACGCTGACTGACTGACTGATGAAGTTACTCCACTGGTTAGCTGGTTGAGTGTTGCACTTTTCCCATTGGACATTGCTCTTTCAACATGATTTGGTGCAAACAGGTTCTATTATGTCATCAGGGGGTGTTTACAATGGATCCTCAATAGAGATGGGAATTACGACTCCTTGAAGGGAGCCAGATCTCATTGTTCGAGCTGAACCACAACAACGGGTCCTGCCTTATAAACAACGTCCCTTACTGACTGACTGACTGACTGACTGAGTGATGAAATTACACTATTTCCTGTATCCCTTCAAATTAAAAGGCCCCTAGCATTTCAAACATGGTCCAGCCAGAACTAGTAAGTAGGTGTAGAAAGAGGAACATCAGATGTTAGTTGTGTTAAACTTCCATATTCTTCTGGAATATATATTCAGCTTTTCACTGCCTTTTGGTTGATTTGTAAATGTTTTTGTACAGAGGCTAAGATGAGCTAATCTACCTGTGTAATCTACATGTGGCTTGCTTATGCTAATGCTAGTTTGACTGCTCCTATTGGGTTGAGGTGATAGCATTCTGTATAGTTGTTTGCACTGCAACATAAAAGAGCAATCAGTGAGTAATTTCTTTGTTGACAGCTGAGGTGATCTTGAGTTGGAAGAGGTTGGTGAGCACTAACGATCATTTTAGAACATAGAAAACACAGAGGTCATGGACATCTTACCCTTTCAATACAGTAATGACTACTGCTGTGTGGATAAAAGGATAGCTGATCCCTTCAAGAAAAAATAACCTGGAATGAGATGCTGTTCAACTGAAGGACATTTATTTTGACATTATTGGCCCATGTGAGCCACAACAGCAAACAAAACATTTCATCCCAAAAGAGAAGATGTTCACTTTACCCACGAGAGCTTTAATAATATTTATAAGTAGTTTCATGCCAATAATTAAAATGGAATGAAACGCTTCAAAAAATATAATAGTCACTGCTGTACAACTGCAAGTGAGTACAAAAAGATCATCAAGTCATTGCACTGTATTACAATGTTGTAGAAAGAAAATGGCATTAATGGCGTGACAGAGAGAAATACCTTGTCAACCAGTCAATCTCTAGAGGCACATATTGGAGTTGAAGAGGACCGGTGGCCACATTCACATGCACATAACAGGCTGCTGGATTATTAGAGTGAAGAGGTGGTTTACTTAAACATAAGGAAAGATATCCCCGTCATTACTCCTGGAGCAACAGCGATTGACTTCATAATCAGGTTGCTTCATCCGGATCAATTTTCTCTGACCTTGAATCAGGTGTTTAATCAGGTGATGTTTACACTGATTATATTAGTCTGATATGAGGAGGAAACCAGACTGACATTAAAACTGCTAATTAAACTGTGTGTATTGATGTGGACACAACACATACATGTAAACAGCATGTTACTGACACATAAACACCCACTGGAGTGCTGTGTGCACAACTGCCCCCCCCCACCCCCCACCCCCACCGAGGATAACAGACAAGACCAACGGTCAGAGGAGATGAATGAATGAGCGAACGAATGAATGAATGAAGGGAATGCAGGAGACATAATATACAAAGAATTTCATGCCTTGTTTTAGAGAAGTGTGTTAACATTTACAGAATAAAACAGGAAGCTGAGACCGCAAAGATGAAAGGAACACATGACGTAAACATCTCTGCTGATTGGTTGATCCAAAGTAAAACTTGACCATTCACCAAGCCCTGATCTCGTTAGCTCATGTTGCTACACCTGTCACTGATGGTGCACTTGATGGCTACATAAATAGTGTTGTACTGTAATACTGAGGCTAAAGCTGCTGAGATGACGATCATGTGGAAACAGCTTTGTTCTTGTATTACAGTGAAGAAGTCAGTCCTTGTGTTATTTGTATGATAAGGTAAATGTCTTTCATTCTAACTAAATGCTGTTTGGCTGCTGAGTTTATGTACTTGTTTTCATGTTCTCACTAAATGTTACATGAGACGGTTTTTGGATCTACACACTATCTCTCGTAGTGGCTGGAATCCAAACTTCTCCACATCAAATCTTCCACACATGATTTTACAAAATGGATGTGCAACAGAGCTTTTTTAATTGTCACCTGTAGCCCTACCTGTAGTAGATAGTTTATGATGTGCCCTTTGGCCATCTATGTAATGCTCACTAACCAGTGACGGGCTGCTTAGCTGGAGATGTGAATGTTTACAGATTACATTAGAGTAGACAATGTCAGTTCTTTTGGCTCTTGTGTTTTGGGTTTGGAAAGGTGAGACCACCCTCTGAGCTCTTTATACAGCCCCACGCACACTGCTTCAACATGTGGACTAATCTGAAACATGCTGTACAGCAAGCATGTCTGGACCTGGTTATAGCTGCTAAGCTATGATTGGACAATCACTGTTTGGGGGTGGTTTAGCAAATTCTCAACAACTGGCTGCGCCCTGGTACAGTCAAGTGTTGGCTGTCAGGCTGCAAAGATACATTTAAACTTGATTTAAATGAAGTTATCTTTCTTATTTCTTATATTTGTGTGCATTCTTGTGTAAACATCATTCACTATATTAACTCTTGGAATAAAATTGTCTGACTCCTCTTGGTCCAGAGTAAACACAGTTACAGTGCTAGTCCTCGAGACTGGATTTGGCCCCCAGAGTGAAAAAGGCTGAGAACCAGGAGACAGGTTAGAAAGAGGGAAACAAAACCATATGAAAATTGTTCAACAAGCAAAATAACGGCAGGCTTCACCTCACCTGGCCTCCACCCCAACTGTCTGTGACCCTCCACTGATGTAATGGTGTAAAGCATAATACATAAACAAATTTTGTGACACGATGGGTGGTAAATCCCCAACATATATTCTAGCCAGAGAGAAGACCTCCGAGTGATGCTGGCAGAGTAGACAGCAGCCAGGTTTCCTCAGCATTGTGGGTGCTGGCTGGTTTTTCCTGCTCCTCTGAACTAAACCAGCGATTTAATACACAAGTGCTTTGGTGCAAATAATGAAGATCAGAATGCTACTGAGAACAGTCTATATTTATGAAATATAATGTCTTTTGTGTGTAGAAAACAAACAAAAAACGGAGCAGAAAAAAGCTTCTAAACCATCACGTGGTTGAAGTGAAGTTTCATCCAGTCGGTGAAGCAGAGGAATGTGCTGGCTGGTGACAGAGAGCACCACGTTCCCACAAGGCTTAAAGGTGTGAGATGTCGGTTGGCAGACAGCAGAGTTCCCGTCACGCTGCCGCTGCCTCAGTCTCCCACATCGCTGTCCTGGTCTCCTATCAGCCACAGGAAGTGGAAACTGAGCGCCAGCAGGGCGGTGCCCAGCAGGTCACCCAGAGCCGTTAGGTAAGGGATGGAGAAACTGTCTGGGTCTTTGCCGCTCCGCCACATGGAATGGACCATCCAGTCTGCTATACATAACAACAGCAACACCTGCAAGAGAAAGAAAGCAGCATTAGACTGCAGCTTCCTAACATGGAGATCCTGCAGGAAGCCCACATGGTTACTCAGGTGGATTCACATCTGTCAGAAAGCAAAGACAAACAAGACATAGAGTCGACACAGAGCAGGAATGAAAAGTCTATGGTAAACGACTAGTTTGAAACCCTTCTTCGCTTTCTTGCTAAGAGTTTCCACTGGTTGTCACAGTCACATCAGTCCCTGTATGGAAAATTGTTGCCCTTTGATTTCTGCATGAATTAAACAAATGACGTTCATATCACACATATTTAAAAATAAATATTTAACAAATTAGTGTATTTGTGCATTTCACTAAATACTTTCACACTATGTCTTGCAAAACCAATACTTTTTATTTATATTAAGGATGCTGTACCTAAGAAACAAAAAGCCTGACGTTTTTAATTACATTACTTTCACTAAGGTACTACCTCAAAATTAAAGACCCCTCCGTTCAAGTGTTTCACCTTGTTAACATCCATATGATGTTTTTATATCATACAAGACATATGATGAGTGAAATAATCATCAACACCATGACTGAGTGTTTTCACCTTGAACTGCAGTGAACCAGTGACCGTCTCATAAAAACAGGTTCAGACAGCCAGGGTGTCATACATCACAAACCTAAGGAACCAATCCTGTCAACTTGTGGGGACGGGGGGCGGGGCTAAATAAACCTGTAACCTTGTCAGTACACAGAGAGAGAGTTAGCATTAGCACAACCACTAACAGCCACTGCCACAAACTAACAAACAACATAAACAAATAAAATGCTAACTATGCTAACTGTTCTGATACGTCTGCTAGTCTCTGGTTCTGGTCTCAACAGACTCCTCATCTGAGTCTGGGTCTGACTGAGGCTCAAACATGTGGCTGAGTCTCTCTGATGTTTCCTCCTCTAACCATCTTGATACTCTCTGCTCTTTCGCCTGTCCACCTGGAACAACAGGTGGTGGGCGGGGCTCAAGGCCTGATCCAGATCTCTCAATCAGGAAGTAAGAGCAGATGAGCTTACAGCCCATTTTTGATTGATTTTTTTTTTTTTTTTTTTTTCACTTTTTATGTGTGAAAATCATGTTTACCATAATATGAATCATAGCAAAAGGAAACTGTTAACTGAAAGGTTTGTACATTGAGGGCATCACTGCATACTGCTAACCAGGATGGGAGCAAGACGCCAAGAGAGGAGAGAAGCAGTTCAAAGGTCAGGAGAGGCAACTGAAAAAGCCTCCTGCTGGCTGAGGCATACAAGGGAGGAGGTGAGCTGGAAGCCAGGAGGAGAGGGGCAGTGAGCTTGTCTAGACTAGTTTGGAATTGCTTCCTAGGGATGTATGTAAATCTGGAGTTTACAAAAGCTATAAATACTTTGAAACAACAGTTCCGGGTTCCTTCTGGTGATACCAACAACTTCACTGATAGTGGCTCACAAATGAACCATCTCTGTAGTCACATGTTCCAGGTTCAATCTATCACTGTCTTATTAGTAACTTCAGTGGAGACGTGATGGTGTCAGGTGGTGATGGAGTGAGGTCGTAGTTAAGTAGATGCTTCTCAAAGCCATCCATTCTGTTGTTGTTGTTGGTGTTGTTGTTGTTGTTGTGTCCAGTTGATTTTTTCTGGTCAATGGTAAATGGTTGGTGTTTTGCTAAGTTTTCCTACTTTTTCTGACATTTTTGAATCTGGCCCCTGACAAATCCCTGATATTACAAAAAACTAAAACTAACACTGAAACTAATAAAAACTGAACTAAAATATTCAAAAAAAATAAAAACTAACAAAACAAATCTGCTTTAAAAACTAATTAAAACCAAAAAGTCAAAACAAAATATTAAACTACTATAACCCTGCTAATTAGGAAACGTTAGCATGCCAACATGCTAAAGATGGGGAACATGGTAAGCATTAAATCTGCTTCATCTGCATGTCAGTATTGTCACTGCGAACATGTTGGCATGTTGACATCAGCATTTACACTGTGCCTCAGTGCAGCTTCACAGAACTGTTAGCATGGTAGACTGTTGTGTTCTTCTAAATTACATGATAGTGATAATTAGGGTTGTTGTTAGGGTAATTTGCCCAATATGTTGAAGATCTGGGCCTGAACGTGTCATCTCCTGGTTGTAATTTTATTTATTTATTTATGTTCTCTTTCTTTTGACTTGATTATTAAAGCTCTTGTCTACTTTTCTTTTCTTCTTCATGGCAGTAATAAAGACCATCACGGCAAACGAAAGGAGAACAAGAGGCAGACTTAAGTGTAATTCATAACCAAGGAACAAGCAAGACGGAGGAGTTTGTGTTATCAACAAGTGCTTCAAATGCCATGTCGAATGGCACAAACACTTAAAGTGTAGTGGAAACAGAGGAGTAATGCAGCAGATCAACCGACAGACGAGTGAAGATAGTGGTATTCATAATTCAAGCTTCCACACATGGAGGGAATGGTGCCGAGAGAAAAAGACCAGTCTATTAAAAGATAAGGATGAGTCTATAATTTAAGGGGAATGAGCTGTCCGGCAGTTGGCAGTGCAAACATTATAAAAACAAAAAAATATTGCAGTTAGTGAAAGATACTGACATTTTCAGAATACAAGCAGGGATGATGGTATCAGGACAGAACAGGGAAAATTGATGATGACAATACATCCTTTTCTGTGTAGAAAAAAAAACACAAATGTATGAGTTCTGATAACCTGTTGACAGCCCTGTCTTTGAAGTTGAGTAATCCTGTTAAACAACATGGCGTCCTGCTTTCCTCTCCAATAATGTTCAGTCATGACAAGATGAAAGCGTCGCACAGGTGAACAACAACCTGTCAAAGCTGACAATTCTGTGAGCGAAAGGTTGTAGCTTTGTCTTTTATTCATGATGACAGGGCGGCAGAGTTGGACATCCTCTCTGTTGTTGCAGTTGCTGCTTTTGTACCATCGTCCACCTCAAAACTGTCAACTACAATCCATCATTTACAATACACAGGTTTTCATCCAAGATATTAGTTTGTTTTTTTTCCTTGGACAAACAGCACTAGACACAAAGGGAAAGACGGAGACTTGAGTGCAAAGTTTCAGACTGTCTTGTGGTTTAAGGAGGCAGATACATCCAATTTCCAAATTTTGCCAAAAGAAGCAATAAATGAAAGAGACAAATTTAACAAAGTACCGATTCCATCATATTCTCTCTCTCTGGTACTGTATCTGGTTCCTTAATCATACCAGTGGCAAGAGAGAAGAAGCATCTAAAAGACGAAGCTGTTTGATCTTCTGGGATGCCGACGCTCACCCACATATGTCAATTTATCCAATGACACATCACTTACACAAGAAGTTAATGGAATATCCAGCTGACTGAATGTTACTCAGTTTGTTGTGGCTGCTGTAGCAGAAGTTGATTGTAATTCCTCCAACTCTCACACCTGAGATAAAATCATGCTCCAAAATGTGCAATCATGAAATTTTCTTTCATGTAGCAACTTGAAAAAGAATAAGAATGTGTGGGTCTGGCAGTGGGCAAACTCACCAAACCAGCCTGGAAAAATGAAGACTTACCTCTAATAAAGACCTGTTACCTTCTGCAGCTGAGGTAAATAAAGGCCCCACCCACTTTTTGAGGAAATAGGATAGTTGAATACTGATGTGGATCTGCTCTAAACACCCCCTGATAACATAATAGAAACTGTTCATGCCAAGTCCTTGTTTTTCTCCACTGTAGGGAAATGAAAATGTCTTTACTCACTTCTCCATTTCAGCAACTTTGAACTTTGGCTGGTGAAGAAAAGAATCTAATAGGTCCTTCGTGTTTAATCTTATGTTTGGCAGGTAAAAAAGGGTGTAGTCAGTATCACTCTCCTGCAGAATCTTTTTCATTTCACTGAATTCTTCAATATTGTGCTGAAGTTTGGCGCTGTAATGAGTAGAAAGAGATCTTATCCAGAGGGATGTTGTCTTTCTCCCGTGCAAGCCAGAGGACCTTTTCCTTTTCCTTGTGGACAAAAGTCACAGTCACAGTCTGTCTGAAACTTTTCCAAAGTGGTGAACCCTCTCTTCCATGATACAGGATAGAAAGTCGTCACAGCCCGGGAACCCCAATGCATCCGGTCTTTGTCTTCTCCGATACATTGATGATCCTCATGCTGGACCTCCTGCTACAGTTTTCAAGGTCTTCTAGATACAGCTCAAGTATAATAAAAGCAAACAGGAAGCGGCTGACCACAATTTGTCAAAACAGACGATCTGTATATTTTTGTTAATAAGAGATTTCCATTTTTCATTTGTAATAATGTTGCAAATCTAACAACATTGTTTCACTTTGTCATTATGGGTTATTGAGTGTTTTTATCCATTCAAAATTAAATCTACAGCACTATATAGTGTGCAGAAAGTAAAGGAGTGTGGATACCTTCTGAGGCCACTGCATATAAGACGCTTTTGTCAGTTTGGCATGTTCATGTGTTTTCTCAAATACAATCCGAGTTTTAAGATGTTTTCTCTGAGACACAAAATTCCCTCCTCTGTTTGCTCAGATCTTCTTCTCTGAGCCCCCTCTGTCTTTGTGTCTTGATTAATCATGCAAGTATACACAACCCCTCAAACTCGTGCTCAAAGAAGCCTACAATTCCTGCCTGAAAGAACACACGCGGTCCTGCTTAATGTCACTCTACTGCTGCTTCAGAACACCGCAAGTACTTATCATCTGAACATAATTGGATTTAGCCGCCCTCTTCGAAATAACTGCTCACTGAAATGCTTGATTTCCAGACCGTTACAAGCTGTTTCACTTCATTGATCTGATATTGTAGAATAACTCATTCTAGTGTATGACCTGAATAAAATTATACTCAGAAATGACGACAAAGTACATAGACACTAGAGATTTATTATGACTTTTCCTTTGTATTTGAGTATGTTCAACGGATGCATTTAAGAGTGAAAAAATGTGGTACCAAAGAAAAAGGAACCTTTTGTCAAACATCT